GCCTCCCCCCCCCCGCGGAAGGAGCCCCGGGGGGGGGGGGGGGAGGGGTCTATGGCTGCAGCCTTCATGGCTCCCGCGCGCGACTTCCGGTTCCCCGTTGCCGCCGCGGGGCGGGCAAGGGGGAGAGGACTGGGAGTGGGTGGCAGGACTCAGCCCAAAAAAAAGGCGAAAGTTATATAAAGGAAAGGACCGACCTCGGTAGTGGCACTTTCGAATCGTCCGTCCGACGTGCAGGAGAAGCTCGATGAGAACTCCCATCGGCTCGCCGGGGGATGGGGAGATGAAGTTGCCAGATAGGTAGGGTAGGGAATCACCTGGAGATTTGGGGACGGAGCCTGAAAAGGTCAGGGACCTCGGTGGGGGACAGTGTCATCGAGTCCACCCGCCAAAGGATCCATTTTCTCCAAGGGAACGGATCTCTGTAGTCTGGGGAGGAGCTGTAACCCCCGGGGGGTTCCCCAGGGCACACCTGGAGGCTGGTGGCATCCCTGAATTCTTCCACGTTCTCACATAGGCAGTGTTCCCTCTAAACTGAGTTAGTGTGAGCTAGCTCACAGTTGTTTTAGCCTCCGGCTCACACGTTTTTGTCTTAGCTCAGGATGGAGGGCTCCAGAGCAGACTAATTTATGCAGTAAGCCAAATCGCCTACTCACAACTTTAGTGCCAATAGCTCAGAAAGTAGAATTTTTGCCCACAGGACTCCACAGCTTAGAGGGAGCATTGCACATAGGTTTGTGTGTGTATTACTGTTGGACAGTGATGCCAAATTTCCATTTAGGTTTCTTGGGTTCATTTTCCCCAACACGGCCAGCACCAACACAGGTGTGCCTGTGCACACAATTCCCTCCCTATTTATTTAAGAGGCGAGGTGCACAAGGCTGGGACTGAGATAGATCAAGGCGGGTAGCCGCGCTGGTCTGTCCGGAGCAGTAGAAAAGCGCAAGAGTCCAGGAGCACTTTAAAGACTAACCAACTTTGGGGCAGGGTCTCAGCTCTCCTGAGTCACACGGCTCACTCCTGGGAGTCGGGACTCCACTACCCCGGACTACTGTAATGATTGCGGTGTGCACAGTAAATCTCAGCCTAGGATTGCACCAGTCAAACCTGCCCCTTGGAGACGGGGCAGGAGGAGGAGCTGATTTCTTCATCTGTCACTGAAACGGCGCTTCAGTCTCGCAGTCACCAACGAAACAGCTACCCTTTTCAGAGGTAACAAGATTTTATCATTAAAGCCGTCGATTTTAAAAACCGACTTACACACCGACTTTCCCACTGGCTTACAGGGCGGCTTACAATAGCTGACTGCAGGCGTCTCGACTGCTGCAAACACATGCGACTTCAGGAGCTGAAATGTTTTGCGTTAATTTCTGCGCACTCTCGCCGGAGACGTCTAACGGGAACCGGAAGTCTACGTTTTCGTAAAGCAACTTTCTTACCTCTTTGCTCACCCTCTTTCTCTTGTACCTGAGGGAAGCAATAACGTCACGACTTGTCCCTCCCCCCCTCCGCACGACTTTCCACGCCCCGCCTCTGTCGTTGACCGGTCCCTCCCCTAGCAACGGGCACGTCACGCCGATTGGAATAACGGCCTCCGCGCGGCGAACCGGGCTAAGGTGCGTTTCGGCTCCCTCTGCCTAGTCCCGCCTTACTAAAACCCCGCCCACCGTCTTTCCGAAGGCGCCCATTGGCTGGACGTCAACCCCCAGCGCCCTTCCCATTGGTTGCCCCTTCGTTCCCCTCCGTCGGCCGAGCTGTGGACGTGGTAGGGATGGGGCGGCCGGAGCGGCTTCTGTGGGTCGCCCGCCTGGCCCTGTGGGGCAGCACCTGCGCCTGGCTCCGCGGAGCCCAAGCGAAGACCATCCAAGGGGGCTTCTCCAGCGCAGCCGCCGCCGCCGCCGCCAGGACCGGGCAGGCGGTGGCGCAGTTCCAGTTCCATGGTAAGGGCCTCGGAAGAGGCGAAGGGGGTTCTGGCTGGCTCTGCAGCAGCGTCTGGCATTCGCTCCACGTTCCCTCCGCCCTGGCTGGCTCGGCGTTGGCTTTTCCCTCCCTTGTTTCAGCAAACCCACCGTGGAACAGAAATGGCATTGCATTGCATGCTGCTTTCACTGCCTTTGAGCGTCGGATTTTATGGTCGCCTCCACACTCCGCTTTCTTTGATCATCGGGTTTTATGGTCCCTTCGGCACAGATTTATGCCTCTTCGGGGGTGACTTTGCAGTCAGTAAGGCGTTGACACACACACACACCCCGGGGGGTATTTGAATGTGGTTTTGGGCTGCACTTTCCCCTCCACGTCGAGAAAATGTGGAGCGAATGCCAGGTGCAGAATCGCCCACAGAGGAAAAGGTGTAGCTCAAACTACTTCAGATAGTCTGGGCCAACGCTGTATTGACTGCAAACTCACCCCTGAACGGCCATAAAATGGCCATAGATCTATGCAGAAGGTATCATGAAGACCCAATGATCGAAGGAAGTGAAAGCGGCATGCGATGTAGAGGGTACGATAAAATCCGATGATCAAAGAAAGTGAAAGTAGTATGCAACTTAGAGGGGAATTTCTGTTCCAACGTGGGTTTGCTAAAACAACGGAGGGAAAAGCCAATGCAGTATCCCACCCTTGTCGTCCGTCCCCCCCGCCTCCCCGCCAGACATGTCTACTCGGGTGCAAGAGCCGCTGGCTTCATGGCCCCAGTTCCCCCCCTCCATTCCTCAGGGGTACCACTGTCAGTCTGTTGCTGCAGAAAGAGACCAGGGTTCTTGTAGACAGTCCCTTCCAGGTCTTTCTGTGGCTGATATGAAAGTCACTGTTCTCCTACAAAAAGAACTTCAAAGGAAGAATCCAATGGGGAAATTGCTGAATCAGCATTCATCAGGGAATTCAGGGCTGTTTCCTTGCCGGACCTCGATAAGGACTTTTCTCGATCATTACAAATGCTAACAGCTTAACCTATCCCCCCTCCTGCAAATGTTGGTTAGCTATGCTATGCCCCTGTGTTTTTTCTTTGGATCTGCTTATCATATTTCAGTGACACTTTTCTAGATCTGACTTTACACTGACCCTGCTTTGCCTGCGTACTAAACAGTTGAGAATTGACTACATGCACTTTTGATTGGATCTGGTTTTAAACTGGCTCCCTGATCTCAGTCGGATCCCAGACAGTGTTCCCTCTAAGCTGAGTTACGTCGAGAAAATGTGGAGCGAATGCCAGGTGCAGAATCGCCCACAGAGGAAAAGGTGTAGCTCAAACTACTTCAGATAGTCTGGGCCAACGCTGTATTGACTGCAAAGTCACCCCTGAACGGCCATAAAATGGCCATAAGTCTATGCAGAAGGTATCATGAAGACCCAATGATCGAAGGAAGTGAAAGCGGCATGCGATGTAGAGGGTACGATAAAATCCGATGATCAAAGAAAAAACTGGCTCCCTGCAACTTAGAGGGGAATTTCTGTTCCAACGTGGGTTTGGTAAAACAGCAGAGCAAATGCTAGATGCAGATTATGTTTGTAAGTGACTTTGGCTGGGAAAGCAGCACAGGCAAAACAGGTTAAAATCTTTGTTTGTTTGTTTTATTAAGCTTCTATACCACCGTCCCTGCAAATCGGCTCAGAGCACTGTATAATGAGTTCATATGAAATACATTAAAACAATCTAAAATCTTCTTACCAAGCACTTCTTTCCTGAGCCAGCTCACATACCCAAGATGGCTTTTATTTTTAGAAGATGTGAGCTTCAGTTCAGGATTTCTTGCATCATGTGTCTTTTATTCCTTGTCTTGTGTTTTATATCCAAGACTAGGGAGCAAAGCCCATTGTGGCCGGAGACCGGAGACAATGGGCCCCTAGAAAGGTAGGGTGAGTGGGTGGGCGGGTGGGGAAAGAAAGGTAGACAGCAGGGCCGGGCCGAGGGGCCCCATAGCAAAGTCATATTTCAGTGACACTTTTCTAGATCTGACTTTACACTGACCCTGCTTTGCCTGCGTACTAAACATTCGAGAATTTACATGCACTTTTGATTGGATCTGGTTTTAAACTGGCTCCCTGATCTCAGTCAGATCTCAGAAGCAGTTGGATGAAAGTCAAGGGTTGCTACACAGTAGCAGGCAGTGGCAAACCACCTCTGTACAATCTCTTGCCTTAAAACCCTACAGGGTCGCTGTGAATTGCCTACAACATGGTGGCTTTCGCTTTCTTTGATCATCGGGTTTTATGGTCCCTTCTGCACAGATTTATGGCTCTTCGGTCAATATCCACTTAATGGATGACTGCCTAATGCATCTGATGAAGGAAAGCGTGTGATGGAATACATGTTGTGTGTTTTTAAGGCTCCACTTGACTCCTGTTTTATTTTATCATACCTTAAAAACTAAGAAGGCCAGCATGTTTTGTTAGTCTCGGTGGACTCCTGTTTTATTTTGCTGCCCCATGTGGAATTAAAGGCTTTATCACTGCATCTAGTACTACATAGTAATTTCATGCAGCTTGACTAAGATATCTGGGGGAATAATCAAGATATTATTCCAGCATAAATTTCTTGCTTCCTTCTTCAGATGCAAAGCAGGTGGGTCCTCATTAGGCAGTCATCTTTTGTCGGAGATATTAAAAATATGGCTACAGAAACATGGAGGGTCCATGAAATGTAGGGAATACAGGATGAAATGCAATTGTGGAAAATCCAGATCTTATCATGGAAAATACAGCATCACTAGTTCCGTTAAGGTAGTTAATGCTGGGCATGAAATGGGTTAGGTTTGATCCGGGAGATACAGTGCCAACCAGTGCTCTGTCTAAGCTGTGTAGTCTTGTGAGCAAAAATTCTACTTTGTGAGCTACTGGCATTAGAGTTGTGAGCGAGAGATTTAGCTACTACATAAATTAGTTTGCTCTGGAGCCATCCCTTCCTGAGCTAAGATAAAAATGTGTGAGCCAGAAGCTGAAAAACTGTGAGCTAGCTCACACTAACTCTCAGCTTAGAGGGAACACTGGTGCCAGCCCTGTATGGATCGGCTGCGATCAAAGCCCATTGAAATCAGATGTGCAAATGGAGCAAATGTGCATCAGTCGGCACAGTTAGTCAAAGCTATGGGGGGTGCTGGAAAGTGCCGTCAGGTCGCAGCTGACTTTATGGTGACGTCATAGGATTTTCAAGTCAAGAGAGGGACAGAGGTGGTTGGCCACTGCCTGCCTCTGGGCAGCAACCCTGGACTTTCTCCCATCCAAATACTAGACAGGTTACAAACTGAACTCTCCAATGCAAGTACAAAATGCATTTCTTCCTTTAGGAGGTGCTATTGTTACAAGAAAAGAAAAAGGTTTCAGTTTTGTTTTTGCATGTGGGTGGGTATTCTGTTTGTAATAATTGTTTGGCTACACTATAGTTTTAATATGCTAGGTGTGATAATTTCGTGCCAAGTAAAAATGTCCATAGTCATATTTTATGTTCCTAAAGTAACAGAATGACTTTCAATCTGGAAAAGAAAAAAATTCAATTTTTCAGAAACTTTCCGGGTTTTCCCGGAAAAAAACGGGGGGAGGAAACAAGTTTTCCCGAGCTTCAAAATTTTCGGAAATTTTACATCTCTAGGCACAAGGTGGGATATCATGATGAGGAACATGCCTAGGAGAACTAGCCCTTGGAGGAATCTCAGGGATCATCTGGCCTTGACGTACTCCTCCTTATTACAGTGTGTGTGAGCAAAGAGAGCCATGGGTTGCTGTCTGCATACTCACTACCAGTAGGTCCTTCCAAATAGAAGAAGTGGCTGTATAAGGAAGCACCTGAGGCTCCCAACCCATGGGTTGAATCTCATGGGACTAAAGAAAGGGACATCTGATACCCCTATCATAGTACATGTTTGTTTATTTAACACACTTCTGTCCTGCCATTCTCCTAAAAAGGATTCAAGGTGGTTTCCAAAGAATTAAAAACACCAGTGCAATGTATTAAGGGGATCCTAGATTTGAGCATTTATCCCCGAGGGCTTGCTGTCTTTAATTTTTCTTTAGGATAGACACAATAGCAACAGGGTCTCTTTTCAAAAAAATTAAGCCTCCCACACCCCTATTTCTTTTAGCGCATTCTCAGACACTACTGCTCGAGCGTATCCCGTTTTGCAGGAGAGAGCAGACAGCGGTGAGGAGGATAGATTCCCTAGGTAATGCTAAAGGTTCTTTTGAGTCAGCTCTTCCATTCAGATCAGACATTTCTTTGACAATAGAACATCTGGAAACCCTTTTCATAAATGTATCAAACTTTGTCTCCACTCCAGACTATTTTCTGTTTTCGTAAAGTTGTTTATAAGATGATATCGGGGGCCCAAAACTTGCTGGTCATCCCGGGCCCCAACGACAACAAATTAGCTGCGACCAGGGCTTTTTCGGTGGCGGCTCCTACCTGGTGGAACGAGCTCCTGTGGGAGATCCAGGCCCTGCGGGACCTTATGCAGTTCCCCAGGGCCTGCAAGACGGAGCTCTTCCGCCAGGCCTTTGAGTAGGAGCCGCCGCCCCACTATACCACCACCATCACGGTATCTTAAGGATGCACGGACGAGGCCCTGATGAGGATCCTGGAATATGTAAAGAAGATCTGACAAGCTGTCGCCATTCATGGGACTATCACCTGGAACTCTGTTGATTCCATCCTGGATTATGATATCAGTGACTGAGCACCGTTGTTGTTTTTAAGTGTTTGTTGTTTTTATTATGTTTTAGATGTTTATTTGTGGCACGGCTGATTACCTTGCCCTTGTGAGCCGCCCTGAGCCCATTGGGGAGGGCGGGATACAAATGTGGAAAAATAATAAATAAATAAATAAATAAGAGCAGGTATCACTGGAATGCTGAAGATCTGGCAGCAGTTTTACGTTAAGTGACTACTTGCCAGCGTTAGCAGACATGTAGATGATACATCTCCTTTATTCCTGCCTTATCTGTGTAATAGAATGTGACTTCTTTTTAAATATCAAGGTGATTGTGCTCTTCTGTATGTCAGAATCCACAACGTAGCCACAGCTATTGGAAAGGAAGCCCGGCTTCACCTGTTTCAAGCCCAAGAATGGCAGAAGCTGCAAGGAAGCCCCCCGGGTTACAGCTGCACAGAAAAACTGTCCAAGGCTCCATTGATAAGTGAGTTTGGGGATGTGTGTCTCGTTTAAATGCACAAATAGATCAACACGTGAGCTTAAAACCTCAGCTTCTTTCCTCCATAGAACGCCCTCTTGTTGCCCTTTGACGCACGCACGGCACCCACATCTTTCCCGAGACGATGCTGGACAGTGTTCCATAGTTAGTGATTGTGTTCAGAAGTGACCTTCCATTGGCAATGTTGTGATCTCTTAGCTGCATATTATAGGCAGGAGGAGGAGGAGAACTTGATCACTTGCCTTGGAAGTCCCTTGCTGGGGTCGCCATAAGTCGGCACTTTACACACAAACACAAGATTTGTGTCTCAACTTGTCTCCAAGATTTCTCTTAAAGTCATGAGTGTGTAACATCCCTTATGGCACACAGATATTTGCTGTGTATAATGATAAAGATCCACTTGCATTCAGTTCCTGAAACGGTAGAAAATGGGAGTCCAATAGTACCTTCAAGACCAAGCAAAATTGTGCAGGGTATAAACTTCTGTGAGCCAAAGTTTACTTTGTCAGCTATGTCAAATTACAGAAGAAGAGATTGGATTTATACCCCACCCTTCACTACCCGAAGGAGTCTCAGAGTGGTTTACAATCTCCTTTCCCTTCCCCTCCCAACAGCAGACACCTTAGGTGGGGCTGAGATTGCTCTCGAGAGAACTCTGACTGACCCAAGGTCACACCAGCAGCTGCGTGTGAAGGAGTGGGGAATCAAACCCGGTTCTCCCAGATTAGAGTCCGTGCTCATAACCACTACACCAAACTGGCGACATTCACAGGCAGGGTATAAATCCAGTCTCTCCTAGTCTGTGATGGTCACGATACAGGCAATCCTAATTAAAAACACAATTTTACTTCTTAATTCCCTTTAAAAACTGGGGACTGTACCTTGGTCCGTTCAGACAATACCGTAGCCAATCCAGAGAATCCAAAGGACAAGCGATGGCTCGCTCCTTGGTTATAATGGCAAACTGTGGTTTGATTCACGTGGGTAGCCTTGTCTGTCTGAAGCCATAGAACAAAGTTTGACTCCAGTGGCACCTTTACAACCATGAACACAAAAGCTTATACCCAAAATTAAGCTTCGTTGGTCTTAAAGGTGCCACTGGACTCAAACTGTGGTTTGTCACAAACCTGGAAACGATGACCATACTGCACACAAGAAAAGGAGGGAGCATACTGTTACCCAGTGGCAAGCCACAATTTGCTACCATTGTCCAAACAGAGCCACTAGGTACTTAAATTGAAATTGCGCACTGTGGTTCTTAAGATGTGTGCACAATCTTTGGAATGTAATAGGTTTGTACCTACATTTCGAAGAATGCATGTGTGATAAATGTGTGATCTAGGACTGGCCACAGCTCTCTGTTGTATGTACTCATGGCAGGAAATATGCATAGCTCTTTAGGCCCTAGCTCAGAGGTTTCTTGCCTTTTCCTAGCCTATAACTGGACATTTTTATCGAAGCAGCTGTTTTGATTTGCCGATTTCGGTCTGTTTCTCTCGAAGTGAACATGAACAGCACGGAACAAAATCTGACGGTGTCCCAGATTCCATATCCAGACACGTGGTACGTGTTCTACGTCGACAAGTTCACCTGCGTGGAGAATTATGAGCATTCTGACTTGGAGGACGTTCAGTTTGAAATGGTAATCCTGAACCCAGACGCAGAAGGGAATCCGTTAGATCACTTCAGTGCGGGGGAGTCTGGTAAGATGTTTGTCTTGAGGTTGCGGGTGCACGCGGGAAACTTAGGATACCAGTGAAATATTTATAAATTCTTTTTCTGGGGAAAGAAAACGTTGAACTGTGTATGTACTTGTACGGTCATCTCATTCTTTGTAAGCGTGGGTCTGCCTGCTTGGGAGGGGAAGCAGCATTCGTTTACTGATGTCTGATTCACCCTCATAGATCAGGGAAGCTTTTTGTTCATTGCAGTCGCATCTCCCTTAATGTGAAATATCTCTTTTAATTTCATTTGGGCAATTGTTTTCTTTAAAGAGAGAAATTTCTATCTACCTATGGCTTGTTTCAGTTATGGTACCTTGAAAAGTCCCGATACCCATCTGGAATCATCAAGTTGCCCAATTTTAACATTAAAGTTAGTTCATAATATCTTTAACCACCCTTATTCCAGCCATAAGGGCAACTTTAACAAGCGCCCTTTTAGCTTAACAGAAAGAGTAAGACTGCATTCATGTTCCCTCTAAGCTGTAGAGTCCTGTGAGCAAAAATTCTACTTTTTGAACTACCGGCATTAAAGTTGTGAGCAGGTGATTTGGCTACTGCATAAATTAGTTTGCTCTGGAGCCCTCCTTCCTGAGCTAAGAGAAAAATGTGTGAGCTGGAGGCTAAAAAACTGTGAGCTAGCTCACACTAACTCAGCTTAGAGGGAACACTGATTCAGACACCTTGTACTGTTCGGCTTGTGACAAGCATGCATAAGTTTGACAAGTTGGGCATCCTTTGATACGTCTCTCTTTAAGAATAAAATCCAGGAGCTCTGTCCTTTGTCTCAGAATTCGGTGCCATCGACCATTTTAATTCATGGTGGTTCTTTCATGGGCCACAGATGCACAACATTGTTTAATAGGGAAATAATATAACTCTTTCCAAATCCCGCATTTAGAGCCTGACTGGGCTAAAGTGTGTCTCTTCAAGTATTGCAGCAGTGACACCTGGTGGTCAGATATCACAGCACAAATACCCGAACAAGTTTGACTCCCGTGGCACCTTGAGGACCAACCTCCAGAATAAAACTTGCGCATGCACACAAAAGCTTATACCTTGAACGAAACTTTGTTGGTCTTCAAGGTGCCACTGGACTCCAACTTTGTTCTGCCGCTTCAGACCCAACACAGCTACCCACCTGAGTCTGGCACAAATACCAATTGCAGAGCCTCTCCAAAAATTTCCCCAGCGCCCTCTGTGCAACCGTGAGACAAAAATAAAGAGTATTTTGGACAGTATGTATGTAAAAGGTGTTTGTAGCATGTCCCCTATAGTGATCGAAGAGACCTGTCTGTCCACAAGCCGAAAACAAGTACCTGGGTTGGAACCAGTGCTCCCTCTAGGCTGTGGAGTCTTGTGAGCAAAAATTCTACTTTGTGAGCTCCTGGCATTAAAGTTGTGAGGGAGCGGTTTGGCTACTGCATAAATCAGTTTGCTCTGCAGCCATCCTTCCTGAGCTAAGACAAAAATGTGTGAGCCGAAGGCTAAAAAATTGTGAGCTAGCTCACACTAAATGCAGCTTAGAGGGAACACTGGTTGGAGTCTATGAACTCATTCCTCTAGTTGGCTGAGCCTTTCTCTGTCACAGGGCAGAAGGCACCTTTTCTGCCAGAGGAAGGCTTTCTGTACCAGGAAGATTAGCAAAGCTGCACAGAAATGCAGCTCCTAGATGATTAAGCAGCTATATTTTATAACTGGACAACTAAAATTAGTTGAAAATGGGCTGGATCCAAATTAAATTTTTGCTTCTGCCCGGCACTTCTGTTGGTGGCGCAGAATTCCCCCCCCCCTCCGCAGTCTACTGATCTCTCCAAAATGGTGATCCTGGGGGACAAGAGGAAGACCCTCAAGAACCGTATAAGAGGCAAACGGGGGGGGGGGTTCTGCAGCGGGATGGAGGATTGGGTGGAAATGACCACACCCCCTTCCATTGGTGGAAAATCTAGTCCAGATCCAACCCAGTACCTTCAGCATCCTTATTCTAGCTTCTGACACAACTGGAAAGACTTGACCCGGCTGCCCGCCTGTATCAGTTGTCTTGTGAAAAACTGTGTCAGAAAGTCTCACAGTAAGACAAGAACTTTTCACCTATAAAATATCTGCTCTGGTGTTGACTCTCCGTGGATGAAGAAGGCCCTTCACGTTGACCTTTCTTTTATGGAATGGTTGTGTTGGGAGAAGGTTTCTAGGGAGGTCACTGTCTCCTGGGGCAACTACCCTGTTTCCCCGAAAATAAGACCTACCCAAAAAATAAGCCCTAGCAGGATTTCTATGCATTTGTGGTATAAGCCCTAGTGTGTCTTCTTGAGAAAAAATAAATATAAGACAGCATCTTATTTTTGGGGAAACATGGTAACAAAAAATTCAGACTCTGTTAGCAGATTCCGAAAACATTTCTTGTTGTTGTTCAGTTGCATAGTCGAGTCCGACTCTTCGTGACCCCATGGACCACATCACACCAGGCCCTCCTGTCTTCCGTCATGTTCCGGAGTTTGCTTAATTTCATGTTGGTTGCATCGATAACACTGTCTAACCATCTTATCCTTTGCCATCCCCTTCTTCTTTGACCTTCAGTCTTTCCCAGCATCAGGGTCTTCTCCAGTGAGTGCTCCCTTATCATTTGGGGGCCAAAGTATTTGAGCTTCAGTATCTGGCCTTCCAGGGAACAGTCAGGGTTCATTTCTTTTAGGATTGACTGATTTGATCTCCTTGCAGTCCAAGGGACTCTCAAGAGTCTTCTCCAGCACCACAGTTCAAAAGAATCTAATCTTCGTCGCTCGGCCTTCCTTATAGTCCAACTCTCGCAGCCATACATGACTACTGGGAATACCATTGCTTTGACCATGCGGACTTTTGTTGGCAGGGTGATGTCTCTACTTTTTATCATGCTGTTGAGAATCGTACACAAGAACCAGATTTGTCACTGCACAAATATTCATTGTAGAGAAATTTTGAAGCCATGAGGGGAAAAATAAAATATATGCAGTGCTTTCTTGCCAACCTGAAACATGTTTTATTTCTTTCTCGATACAAAGTGTATCGTTTATTAGCATATAAAATTATACTACATGGCCTTATTTATGAAATGGAAAAGTTTTCTACAAAGAAACTTATAAGCGTACCCAGTATCAGAGAGAGCAGAAAACTGCTGCAACTTGAACTACCTTAGTACAAGTATCTTCAATGTTTTGCTATCTGAGATTGAGGGAGGGGAGTTAAAAATAGAAAACAAAATTTGGGGTAAACAAAAGCCGTTTTGGATATTAAATTGAATTAGCGTATTAGCACGCCGATAACATACTTGTGGACAAAATAAATCCCATAAATCTCTGCTTGAAAATATTGCATATGTCCACAGCATACACTGAAATCATTGTTCTCTAAGCTATAGATTGCTTTTCATAAAAATCTTCACTGGAAAAAATGAAAAACAAACCATAGTACTCAAAGAAAAAAAAGAGAATCCTACCCTGGGCCTTCACGTTTCTAATTTAACTTATTACTTGGATCCAGCAATGAGCGAGTGGGAAGCATGAATGGACCCAGTGTTTTCCTTCATATATATTATAGTAAAAAGGTAAAGGTTCCCTTGCTCGAAAGCCAGTCGAATCCGACTCTAGGGTTGCGGTGCTCATCTCCGTTTCAAAGCTGAAGAGCCAGCACTGTCCGAAGATGTTTCCTGGTCATGTGGGC